TCCTAGTGTCTTTAAGTCAATTAAAACCTTTTAAACTATTTTAGGTACTTGATTTATTGGTTTCTTAGCAGTTTGGTGCAAGGTACATTAATCTAACAGCAGCACTGGGGCCAAAACTGCTCTGTTGACTCAGCTCACACATTCTACAAGAAAAATGAAGGTAGAAGAACTGCCTCAAACTGGTGCTGAGCACATGGCAGGCCCAGAGGAGGGTGGGCAAACAGCTCTCCTAGCCCCAGAACAACCCCTCTGTATGGCTAACTGTTCCTCATGCAATTGCATGCTGTCCACCTTCATCAGGTAGAATCAAATCCTGTTGGAGCCAGACCTGAATAAACACCCCAGGTAAAAGGACTGAACCTCAGCAAGGTCCCATGGCTGCAGGTAATCATATGCCACTGCCTGAGGAAAATAACTGCAGCAAAATGAAATTAAGTCAGAGGAGGAAATCCATCAGCAATCCTGAAGGAGACCCATAGAAACACACTATTTTTATCCTCTTTGCCTTCCTTCCAGACAGGGGCATTTCCAGCACTTCCTATCATTACACATACTCTGTACAAGATAAGTTGCAACTTTCTTCCAAGAAAAAGTCACCCCTGAAGTCTTCACTGCATTATTGAGGTCATACAGTTTAGAGGAGCCCCCTCAGCTGAGTATACTGTCTTCCCACCATTGACCAAAATCCCTTTATGTGCCATTTCTTTCCATATGCGACGCTGACTGCTAAAGAATGTGTTAACACCCACCAGTTCTATAGCAAAACTGGTAAGAACTGGTGGAAATTAGTCTACTACAATTATAAAGCTGCTTTCAGGGAGGCACTTCCTGCACAACAAGTCACTATATTGAAGGGGAAAATTAAATTCTTCCCAGATTGCTCTTAGCAACTTACCTTTTGATATCCTAGGTCTCCCTTTTGCTAAGAGCACTCTGTCGGTGTTCAGAACTCCCCTCCAAAAGCCCATCCCAGGTCTGTTCCTGCAAGCTACTTACACAGAACAGAGCTGGCAGTTTTGTTTCATCCTCTCCTCCACATCCTGGCCAAGGGCAGGTCTGTGCTCTTCTGTCAGTGAAGAAACACACATTGCCACTTCAGCTCACTGACCCGTTCATAAGCAGCACCCAAGGCAATTATGGCCAGTCCACAAGGAAAAAAAAAACAACCCACCAATATGAAAACACACCTTCCAAGAAACACTGGGTGCCTCAGCCTTCCACCCACCACTCTCCTGCAGGGCTCCTGCTGCCCTGTAGCACAGACACCCACCTGCCCCTGCCCCAAGCACACACCCCAGGGTGCAACTTCCAGCGAAGACAGTCCTTGTTCTGTCTGCTCTAAGTAGGGTTCAAGGTAAGGGGGGAAAATAACAAAAAAACACCAAAAACAACCACCAAGAAAACCCCAAAAGATAAGAAAACAGCCAAGGGGAAAGGCAGACCTGTGCCAGGGGCAGCCAGGGAGGGCTCCTGGCCAGCTCCTGCACCCAGCTCATGTGAACCCAGGTTAGCCAACATGCACAGCACCCTGTCCAACACCTCCCTTCACCACATTAACCAGTAAAACCTCTGACTATCCTAACTTACCAACTGCTTCAAAACTGCATCACATTTCCTCATATAAGCACCACTTAGATTACAATCAGATGAAAGAAAAAGCAGGTGTGGAACAGGATCTGAAGGGTGAAAACACCAACAGCTTTTTTCAAAATAATTTTAATTCTTGCATCCAAGGAAACAAAAACACATCTAGTTTTATATGCATTTAATAGTTTACCAATTGGTACAATAAGATTTTTTTTAATATGCAGAAAACATGAATAAATTTTGTTTTACACAGTCTGAGAGCAACAAATCTTACCGTAAAACACAGAGCAGTATTATATACATTCCTTTACTGATTTGTTTTGTTGTTGTTTTTTTTAAATTGTGTCAATAGCTTCAGTTAACTCCTACAGTCTGGGAACTGTTTTCTCCAATTGCAACCTCTAACATCTTTCATATGAAAAAATTCAATGTTTGCCTTCATGTCAATGTCAGGATCAACTTCTAAAATGTGAAGATTTTACTAACTTATCTTCAGAATGAACTCAGGGAAGCCAGAGGGATAGGTAGGACAAGAAAGCAGCTACTTACATGACACAGTGGAAAGATAAAAAGGCCAGTTAAATCCAGTCGTGACTTGTAAATCCAACTCAACCCTCCCCACTTTTAACACGTTCATCCCTACCATTTTATGCACGTATCCTTGCTGGAATTCTTGGTATTGACTGTTTAAATACACTGGACTTCACGTAAAGCCAGACAGCAAATCTCTCATTCTAAGTGAGTTTTTCCTTCACTCAATTCAGTTTTTTAAATATTCAAACCATTAAAAGGATTATCAAGCCACCACTGTCTACAAAAACAAAGTATAATCTTTCTTTTAAACAGCTTTCTCACAAGTCAAAAGCTATTTAAGAGTGATACCATCAGGCAGGTCACATAAAAACAGGAGGAGGCGAACAGGAGAAGCACGGTGCTGACAGGGTGGGTCGACTGGGCTTGGTGAGTCTATAGCCAAAGCTTCCCCAACACTACAGTGCTCCACAGCCCTCGGACAACTTGCTAGCAACTAGATTTTTTTTTTTTCTTTTTAAGTAGTGCCCTGGGCACATCATTGGTCACACCATACACAAAAGCAGGACGGTTGTTGGTTTTTTTAAAACTTCTAAAGTGCAAGATGCTATAGAACATCAACTTCCAGATTATGTCTAAACCACAATAAATGTCGCACTTTTTAGAATGCATCTATGACTTCCTGGGCACATTACATTAGTGTGGCACTGGAATGTCTGTCTGGTTTCAAGCCAAAAAGTCTGTATTGTCTATTTGATAACAGGGTCTATATATAGTAATTTTTAAGCTATGCCAATTTTAGTAAGGAAAAGTGACAAAGCAGCAGTGAACCTCTTAAACCCTCTAACAAATTTATTTTGTAATCCACACCAGTAACCTCATCATTGTACTACTTCTCATAGGAAAGGCACAGGATTAGCTGACAGAAAACATTGCAAACAGCAGCAGAAGTTCAGCACAGTGCAGGAAACCCTCACACACCCAACTCCTGTGTTGTGGCTTTCACGATTTTGTCTAAACAGGGCTTTAACTTTTGATCCGTTCAGGACCATCCCTGAGATTATTCACTGCTTATTAAAGGAGAAGGTTGCAAATTGCATTGCAGAAGTACTTAGCAGAGTGTTTCACACAAGCAATTAATGCTGCTTACATGACTTAGTTGTTTGTCCTTGTAAATAGTTGTAGGCTAAAGGGAAAGAATGCAGTAGACAACTTCCACTTAATAGGTACCTTTAATTTCTCATTCATGGTTCTGAATTATGTACATGAGTGTGGTTTACTTTATACTTAAATAAAGTTTATAGGTCCTATCAGGAACTAAACAGATGTATTACTCAACAGTTGCAATTGCACTGAGGAATTTTAAGATGCACTACTTGTGTATCTAGAATTCTCAAATAGGACAAAAAGCAGCAAATTTTTCCAGTCCAAGCAGCTAACAAACAAAAAAAATACTTTATTTGTGCATGCTTAATTGCAGAAACACACTGAAAATTACATAAACCACTGGATTTAAGAGATTAGCCTGAATCTTACACTGGCTCCAAAGACCCCCAATCAGAACTCTCATTCCTCCACCCTTCCCCAGAGCCCAGGCTATGCCTGGACCCCATCCTGAGATCCAGCTCCTCCCACAGGAGAATTAATCCTTCTCTGGGTAACTGCAGGAAATTAACCACCACCCCCTCACCCTTGTAATGTGTTCACCCTCCAGCCCACTCCACCTTGGTCAAGGATTCTTATTTTTAAAAGGGACAGTTTTAAAAGCCATGTATTAAACAAAATTAATAAAATAAAGCAGAAATTCACCTGTTAAAACATCAGACTGGTACTTCATTATATTGTCAGTTTTTGAGTGGATTTTTTAAAAGACCTGGTTAGTTAGATAAGTATTGTAATTCTTAGTTATCTACAATGGAATTTGTCACCAAATGCTGATTAAAATATTAATTTATAATATTTTCATTCACTTCGGATCAAAATATGTCAACTTTAGGAATATGCAAATTAAAAATTGTATACACCAAAGAACAAATACTAATAATCAAGCTGGGCTAGTTTTGCTGATAGGTATGGCTCTGTTTCTAAATGTTCACTTGATAGCATCATTCCCACTGATGGACTTTGTTTTGTTGATGGTGTTTTTTCTTTAGGAGCCTGTATCAATCTGTATCTGTATTACAATCTGATTCTCAAGGTATTTAGTGCTTTCTTTAAAGCATTTAAATACTGATCCCAGATATTTCTCTCTATGCAAACCACAGTACATTTTTATTCAAGCCACGTTGTCTCGTCAAGGTAAGTACAAGCTCAATTTCTAAAGGGTTTCCAAGGAGGCACTAAAGAAACCAAGAAACCTTTGTATACCCCAACCTCCTGCCAGTGAATGAGGGAAGTGTACTTTGATACTGTTGTGTAACAGGGATTGCACATCTCTAACAAACATGGAAAGCAAACAGCAAGTTGTACCATGGCAGTCATTTGGGAGATTAAGCTCTACTGGAAATTAGATCACTAAATTCTAATGGGATGGAAAACTCCTCCTGGAAGTTTGTCTAGCATTAAAAAACAAACAAACAAAATCCCTCAAAAAAAACAAAACAGAAAAACTATTTAAACTCAGTTTAACAGCACAGCTTAACCATTGAATGACCAAATAAAAAATAAATACATTTATCACATCAGCTGCTACTGAAGATTTGTTGTCTTATTTCAGGTTTATAGTTAGTTATATAAATATACCAACCCTTGCGTGATAGGAGGCCAAAACAAGTGTATTCTGTTGATTTGGCAAATGTTTCATGACAAATATTCCAGAGTTTAATTAATTTCCATTAATTACATATAAGGTTCAGAAGATTCTGAATTGCAGCCTTATAATCTAGTATTCTTAGAGAAGATTTATTAAGCACACTTAAGTGATGTTACATAGATACACATTTCTGAAAGAGCCCTACAAAACTTTTCCCAAATGAGGTCACCAGTTCAGGCACCAACAGACAGCAGAGAGAAAAACAGGAATCATTATCTGACATAGAACGACACTGTCAACTATTCAGTTAAGTGCCCTATTTCAATTATCCAACTTCTGCCTTCTCAGGTCTGATGTGACCAATGCCAGCCCATGTTCTTAAACCTATGGTACTTCTAGACAACGTATGTAAATTTACAGTATACAATTTGGATTCACCATGCATGAATACTTTGTGTGTAACATTTAATAAGCTCAATCTACATCCAGAATAATTTACATGAAAGGACAATATTTATTTAAACAGAGCTCAATGGGTAACCATGAGTGCATCCAGAGGAAAAAGGGGTCAAATGTGAATTCAATCAACGGCACTCCCACACTTTTACTGTTTGATCTACACTTCCAGTAACCACATACGGTGCCGTCTTGTGGAAATCTGCGAGGAAAGAAAAGCTGACGTTAAGAACGAATCCAACACTTCAGAATCTCCTGCTCTCACTGCATGTTACTACTTTTTCCACAAAATGACAGATATCGGCTCAAAGACTAGATTTCAAAGCTCATCATGTCTGTAATTCTGAAGGCAAAGTCTCCCATGCCAGAATTTTATAAAGCATGAAAATCTACTTTCAGTTCAGTTATAAAGGACCTTTCATGGAAAAAATATCCAGACAAAAGTTATTACAGAGAGGAGTCCAAAACACCTCAAACTGATAAATCCTTCAATACGACCGGAAGAAAGAACTTAACCAAGAGGAATGAAAAAGCCTCACTGTATAGCACAGGTTCAGCAAAGCCAGATCCAAGGCTAGCCAATCCATGCTAGTGGTTTAATGTTCCGCAACTTGTAACTTTTCTGATCACCTGTTTTTCACAATTTAAAAGAGAAGTGAAATAAAACCCCTGCATTTTGATTAGACCTGAAAAGTTTGATTGGGAAACTTTAGTAGCCAATTCCTGGTCCACTGTTAACCTAACACAACCTACTGAAGAAGCTAGAAACTGCCAGAAGAGCCCAAAGAAAGAAACAACAGAAAAGTCTCCAGAGTAAAGCTAGCTTTGTTATAGGGAGGGCTTGGTTTGGTTCTGTCAGGGGAGGGGAAACAATCTCTACCAAAATCTGGTAATACCAAACCGGAATGCTCAGGAATTAAAGGTGGTTTTTTTCTGACCATTTTGCTTTGCCTGCCCTCCTTGCTCCCCCCTTTTTCTGGGCAAACATTTGCAATACAGCACTCCCCAAATGCCTCACACTCTGTGGTGAAAGGTTCCAGAATACCCTGGCAGTTAATATCTTTATCCAATGTGCAACATTGGCAACGGAAGTGGAAAAAATCCAGCATGCTCACAATTCATATCTGTCCTTATTTGATTAGAATACACATAGCACAAAACTTCACTGGAATCCAAAATGTGATTGTCTAGCTTGGTGCTCAACTTCAGCTGGTGAAGATGCAGACAAATCTGTCTCTGGCTCTGTATTTGCAGTAAGCACTGCAGAACAATACATACCCAAAGAGGTAACAAAGTGTTCGTGCGCATTGAGGGTTTTCATGCATCGTTTGTTCTTGAAGTCCCAGACACGTAGAGTCTTGTCATCAGCACAGCTCAAAATAAATTTTCCCCCAGAATGGAAGAGAACGCCACGTACCCAGTTATCATGGCCCACCTTGTGCATAAGAAGAGATCAATGAGCAGGTGCAGGTTTTAAGGCTAAGAATTCCACAGTTATGCTATGGCAAACCGAGCGCCTCCTTGTCCTGTCCCTGCAAGGGTTCATTTAGCTGTCTAAAACCTATCAGAACTCAAAGCTTATCTTCAGTTTCTATTATTACATCTGTATCAGCACCACCAACAATGTGAGTTCCTGTCCTTGAAGGCAAACAAACAGACGTCCTCATGTGATCTGCACTGACTCTACTCCCCACGGCCAGCACCAACATGCGGCTCAGCCTGAGCACAGGCAGCAGAGCAGAAGCCCAGAGCCCGTGGGAGGGCCCAGACCTTCACAGGAGACAAAATTCACATGATTATCACCACTGCTGCAAACAAACCAAGCCACTCATCACAAATACTATGCCACATTAGTCCTGCATTTACACTTTGTATTTTGAGATTCTCAGTATTTTTACCAACGATACCCGAAATAGAGAAGCCATTAAAAGTGTATTTCCAGCATTTGTCTTATTTCAGTAACTCTGGCTTCCCTTGAGAACATAAGCATGTAAGACAGTTCATTGCATTACAACTGATTTTACATACACAGCTCTGACCAGCAGAAAAATACCAATGAACTTACAAGTGTCATAAGGCACATGCCAGTGCTAATGTCCCACATCTTAATGGTCTTGTCTCTGGATCCAGACAGCAGAAAAGGCCCAGGCTTGCCACTCTTCTTAGTCTACAGAAAATTTTAAGTTATGGCATATATGAAGCAGGGGGAAAGAGGGAAGAAGCAAATCCCTTCTGAGAGCAATTGCTTAGTAACAAAATTAGATTGTATGCCAACTTACAGTTAATAAATACACAATGCCAAAGCTGAGAGTCACAGGCATTTTGCTACTAATACTAGGAGAAATAAACAAGAGGAATTAAACAATCTGTCAAAAAAATAGCTGTATGCCCCACTGACACACAGAGCCAAATCAAACATTGAGTCCACATTTGCCTACTGCAAGACATCCTTGTTCCATGGTAGACACGATTCAAGCAGAGACAGACATCTCAGGACAACAGAGTATGAAGTTCAGACATACCTTCATGCTCTCATTCTCCATAAAACATAATGAAGCAAGTTTAGGAATTTTTGAGAAGTTCTTACTCTCAACTTATTTCTATTTGTACCCATGACTTAGTTCTCAGAATTACAGATGTTCCAGTGAGAAGCTAAGGCTGCCTTGCTGCCTGTGTTGAGCACTGGGATGTGCAGAGCTGGTCAGGCCAGCAGAGGGCAGGGGAGACACCTCTTCCCACTGCCAGGGGAAGGGAACACGTGGAATTCAATTTTCATCTGTTTAATTAAAAGATTATAAGGATCTTTTAAGGATGCAAGTCAAATTTGACTGCAATAACCTGAGACCGATCACTAGACAAGGCCTTGTCTTCAGTGTATCTAACTTCTCCCCTTGGGTATTTCTGTCCTTTCTGAGGAAGGCGGCAAGGCAGAACTGCTTGGGTTTTTAACTAGAAATCAGCGAATTTCTAGCTTGTTTCTTCTACATTTTGCCATCCTTAGAAAGAAATTTTGCCTGACCTTTAGTAAGCCTTTCTTGAAGATTTAGTGACCAAACCAGAGAAGACATATATGTGATCACACAAATGGAGATTTATTTTAATTAGGGAATGCCTGCTCCTAGGTACATGGCTTCCAAAAGCCTAATCCAAGCACAACAAACCCAAGGCAGCTTCATATCTGCATTCCTGACTCTACTTCCCCCACACCTTTCAAGTGCTTAGAATCCCCACATTATGGCAGACAAGCTACTTTCACTACTTCTTTGCTGGAATATGTGAAAGTGGTCCTGCTCTCAACCTCAGAAACAGCATCTCTCCAAAGCTCACTTTCATTAGGGCAAAGGTAGGGTCCTACTGTTGAACACCACAAAAGCATGGATCCTATGAAGCCAAGACACAGGATTAACAGTACATCAAGTCTACTGAACAAAAATATACTTGTACA